TAACAACACCTTCAGCCTGGAATACCCATGACATTAGTGTGGAAGTTTCCACTCCAACATCAGAAACATCAGAACCAAATACAACTGTACACAATGACTCCTATTCTGACCCTCCTGAAATTGCACTTACCCCACAACAAACTACAGAATTAAGAAGTAGGGCAGGGCGACTAATAAAGCCAAAGCAAATATTTAGTCCATCTTAATTAAAGTTCATCATGTTCATGACTGTTTTAACTATGTTGGTTTTTATTTTAATCATCACCTAGATACATGTATAATGGATTTGAACAATTTCCAAATACATGTTACATATGTATATAATTAATGTACTATGTCTAATGTCATTGAATGTATCTTTATTTTTAAGTTATAGATGGATGTATTACAGCTAGATGTTCCCATGGAGGAGATCCATACTTTGGATGATGATTTAAGACCAGAGTGGAATTCTGAGGGAATGACCTGCCCTGTGCCTAAGTGTTCCAATAGTAACAAATTTAATACCTTCAGGAGTTTCATGGCTCATTGGACGAAAGTGCATGTTTCCGTAAAAAACTTAATAAACGTTCTGAATGTAAAAAACTTATCCAAACAAAACATAAGAAGCAACATGAACGCCAACATTCTACAAAAATCGAATTTACTGTAATTACCGTCCCTAACAAAGAATACATCGATTCAGAACTAATTCTTCCTCCAAAATTTTCCAAAATTCAAAACATGCCTGAATCTCCAAGAAAAATTGCACAACGGAAAAGAAAATATGAAGCAGAGAAAGTCCTTGCAAACACAACCATTTTTTCCGAAAATTTAGATCCAGATTTCAACAATTCCAGAGACGAAAAGCTATATTTCCTTGAAACCAACAACAAAACAATTGTCACCTATCACAAAAACCCACGATGGTACAAAGATGCACCGGTGGAACCCCCAAGAACCAGGCAATCAATAAGATATTAAACATTATTAAGTTGAAGAGACTTTGATGTATTTGAAGTATATTGTTGTTATTTATATACCCATGCAAGTTTTATGATAATGATAATCACTCATTTTTCTTTTGTTGTAAATAAATACCCGAGTGATTCATGATATCAATTTGATGCAATATTTTTGTATGACTAATATGTAAATGACGTTGAATTTTTTATCGGTCATTGTATCATGTATTGTATTTTTTCCTTTGGTGATTATTTAACACACAAATGTTTACACTTTTGTTCCCCAAGGAGGGAAGAGTGTAGGAAAACTGGTTTTGTTTACAACCAAATTGCTTACCTTTTCATCTTTACATCTTTAAACTTGATTGTTAAGAGTTTTTATCTCATTAATTTGGTGCTATTTCAACATTTTTAACTTTAAACACAACGCGAAGTCAAACACACGTTGCCGGTTCTCCATTTGTAAACAATCTATGTAACTTCCTGTGTTGTGTATTCACATACCTTTGTAAAGTCCGCTCTGATTGGCTAATCGGCATTATGTTAATCCAATAGTTCTGTTTGATATAAACTTATCGATTCATTGATTTTCTATTGTTCAATAAAGTATAAAAGGACAGTCTTGTCCTTTTCTTTTTGGAGTTGTCTGGCAGAACACTCCGTACAGGTACAGGAAAAACACCTCCATAACCTTATACATGGGCGCAGACATTTTGGACACCCGAAGTTGTGCGGAGAAGAAAATGCTACGTGATTGGTCATTAAGAGAAAAGACTTGTTATGTATCTGACTTATCTCAGCGACATCCGTAGAGAATAAAAATTTTGGTCTGGTATCTCTACGGATCTCAGACCAGTATCACATAATCTCATTCGGGGTTTCGTTCCCGGAATTCGACCGCTTGTTTCGATTACTACGGGCTGAAATGAATTAGCTGTCCGCTTCAAATTTTTGCTTTGGACATCCTTTTAATTCCCTATCACCATAAAACTTTCGTTTCTTACCTCTGAAAGATTTAAATCCATCAAAATATAAAGTTGTTGATTTTTCATACAATAAGCTATTCGTTTAAACCTCCGATGCTGAAGAGTTCCAGCAATATTCTGCTTCAAATACTTCGTACTATGGTTCATTTCTATAGGAAAAATTAGTAGAACGAAGTATTTGAAGCAGACTATTGCTGGAACTCTTCAGCATCGGAGGTTTAGACGAATAGCTTATTGTATGAAAAATCAACAACTTTTATTACATGTTGATGGATTTAAACCTTTCAGAGGTAAGAAACGAAAGTTTTATGGTGATAGGGAATTAAAAGGATGTCCAAAGCAAAATGTTGAAGCGGACAGCTAATTCATTTCAACCCGTATTAATCGAAACAAGCGGTCGAAGTACGGGCACGAAAACCCCGAATGAGATTATGTGATACTGGTCTGAGATCCGTAGAGATATCAGACCAAAATTTTTATTCTCTACGGATCTCGCTGAGATTAGTATTTGACAAGTGAAATAAAGGTGATAAAAATCTCATATCAAGACTTAGGCTTTTTTGAGATATATAGGAGTTACAGGTAAAAGTTTGAAGGGAGGGGTGCACTTTGGTTAGAGATTTTTTATTTGGTGCTGAACGCACCTAGTTGTAAACAAATGGAATTTGAAAGTAAAAGTGCAACGGCACGGTATATTTTTTCTGGCATGTTTTGTTTTGCAAGATCTCGAACTTTCACGGCAAGAAAGTCATTTGCCCAAAATTGAATATATGAATCAGTGACAGTGGCTCAACTTTGTATGGAAGTCTATGGGAAAACATTTGGTGGTGTTTGTCCTATACTGTTTCAGCACCTAACTCTTTTTCTGCTACTTTCACTTTACAGTGTATTTTGATAACTGAGTCATTGACTCATTCGGAATTTCTTTCCTAAAAAGTTTATTTTCTGAAATAAATTAAATTTCTTATTTGGAATAAATATTTTTGAATTATCTTTCCTCTAAAAATTATTTAGATATTTTTTGAACATTTTTTGACTTTAGGAGAGCCGGGAAATTATTTATTACAATTTATATCTGGAAAATATTTACATTTTCCAATTTATTTTGGTGCTTTTTGATAAAGTATTCATATTTTGAGAATAATATTATACAATTTTTTCCTTTCTGAGAGTTTCTTTTCTCAGTTTCGTGTACATTATTCATATTTTCCCCTCATTTTTGTCATTTTTGTTATTGCATCTTGTTATCATTTTTGTTATCATCTTTACACATCAAAATCATTTTTGTTATATAAAATACTGAAATTTAAACTTGACTTATGTTGTTCTTCTCTGTCATGGTTAAATGATTATCTTACTAGTCGATCACAACAGCTTAAAATAAAATCATCAAGTTCTTCAGTGGGAAGAACCAAAGCAAGAGTTCCCCAGGGTTCTGTTCTTGGACCTTTACTTTTTCTAGTTTATATAAATGATCTGCCATGTGGACTCTTGGGTCTCTCTAGACTATTTGCAGATGACACATCTGTGTCAAACTCCTCTAAAAACTTGCAGGACTTAGAAAGATTTACTAATTATGATTTAGAAAAAATTAACGAATGGTCAAAAAACTGGCTTGTAAAATTTAATCCTGATAAGACTAAAATATTAATATTTGGTTGTCAAGAAGATGAAGTATCCAATCTACGGTTCAAGTTTGACAATCAAGAAATAGTTCCATCTTCTACTCACTGTCATCTTGGACTTACGTTTTCAAATTCTGGCAAATGGACAAATCACATCGATAACATTATTAAAAAGACTTCAAAAGAAATTGCTGTTCTTCGTAAATTAAAATTATCATTGAATCGTGATTTTTTTAACTAAGATGTATATTACATTTATTAGGCCACTATTTGAATATGCATCAGAAGTATGGGATAACATTTCCGCAGCTGACTGTGATAGGCTGGAGAAATTACAATTAGAAGCTGCGCGTATTGTCACTGGTCTCCCTATTTATGCTCCTCGTAAGTCTCTGTATTTCGAAACAGGATGGGAAACACTTGCTTATAGACGAGAAAAGAGAAAATTATGTTTAATGAATAAAATAAAATATGGCCTCGCGCCAGACTATTTATTAAATCTATTACTTCCTGATGTCTCATAAACTACCCATTATGATTTACGTAATCGCAATAATATTTCTATTCCCCAATGTAAAACAAACTTATTAAAAAATTCGTTCATTCCATCTACAATATCAGTATGGAATGCTTTACCTACAGAGATTAGAAACCTTGATACTGTAAATGCTTTCAAAAAAAAGACTCTTTGAAGGTGAATCTCCCCAAAAGTATTTTTCTTATGGTGATAAAAAAACAAACTCAATTTTAACAAGAATGAGACACAATGTAAGCATCCTTAAGTCAGATTTATTTAAGGTTAGGCTTTCAGATAACACTCAGTGTTCTTGTGGACATATTAATGAAAACACTGAACACTTCTTCCTGTACTGTAAAAATTATGCTGAAATTAGAACAGAATTATTTCACACCGTATAAAATAACAAAGGAGCAATAGACCTTGACATAATTCTATTTGGAGACCCAAATTTGGGTCAACAAAATAATATCAACATTGTTAAAGCCGTACATAAATATATTAAAAAATCGAAAAGATTTTTATGAATAACCAGCGTAACCATTCTGTATCTTTTACAACCCCTCCTTCTTTCTTCGATTCTCTCTTTGCACTCCCATTCCCTTCCTTTCTTATTTCTCTGCACCCTTTTCTTTCTTCTTTATTTTTTTGTATTGTATATTTGTTGCTTGTACATCACGTGTATATAATTTTATTTTGTTTGTGTTGGAGAGGACAATCTAAGTTGGTATAACTTGTGTCCAATCCCATTGATTGTGTTCAATAAAATATGTTTAAATAAAAATTCTCTGTCATAAGCACATCTAGTGATACGATTGTGGTATGTAAGAGAATCATTGCTCCTGCGCAAAGCTAAGGTATAATCTAGCACGGCCATACGTTTAATAGATTAGTTATCTGGGCTTGCGGGGACGTGAAACCCTCTTCCTTACTACACAACAAAGAATCATGCTTTTTAGAATCCTCTTTGGAATTGCATTGGCAGTGTCAGCTGCTTTTATTTCAAAAATGATGTAAGTATAATATATATAAGATTTTTCTTTATTTTTGTACAAATATTCTCATAATATCTCTCCAAATCATTACGGTGTTGAGCAGCACAGTAGCAGTATATAAGTGTATCTTACTTCATTTTAATAATGAACATTTTCGGAATCTCAGACACCCGACAACCCGGCAGTCCGGACTTCGGACTTTTGACTTAAGGGAACGTGTCAAATAGTAATTTGAATTATACGTATATATTTTATTGAACTCGATAATCACATTTCGTTCTTATTTGTATGAGTTATACATTGTGTACACAAATACTTAGGAAGGGGGCAGGCGGCGTGTCTCCACTTTTCGGAGAATACTTTTTTGATCCCTTTCCCGAAAGCTTGTTTCATTTTACAAATTAATAACACCAAATTCCGAACGACAAATAGATAAACAGAAATCTCCAGAAGCAAAGAAAATTTTATAAACTTGTGTATCTTTATATTAATAATTGTATGACCATGATGACACTGAGCGCACAATCTGTAAACTGAAAATAGAATAAAATTTTGTCAAAGCAGTTTATGGCGTCACTCGAGAAAAAAGATTATGTAATATTGTTTCAGAAATTGTTTGTAGACATACAAAAAGTTCCTTGTCAGAGTAAACAGAGCATGCTACAACATTACCGGTGTAATTATGTACAACATACCACCAGTACAACTCTTTTCATACTCGACGTATTAGGCGCAGAGAAGAAAACCTAAGCATAAGGCTTTAAAATGACACCCGATTTTACATCTCTAATGCACAATCACGTTCCCTCCTAAACATAATATATCAACTCAATATTATATTCTCATTGGAAAAGCCAGCTACATTATAGGGAGATCTGGTATCTGTGGCCACCTTGAGGCTTCCAGTGGGTACAGGGAAGAGCCTTGGTGGGGTCCAGAAATTATAAGCTTCTAGATTCTGGGAATTTGAGAGACAGACTTTTTAATACAAAACGCATTAATTTGAATGGTGTTTTTGTAATAAAGATTTTGTATTTATATCATGACCAAGATAATAATTATGGAAGAAATTATATGAACACTATGTATTAATGTCATATGTATGCATACGAGTTCATGTTCAACAAAGAAATTACTTAATTTACATATACTAAAATTATTTAATATTTTGCACTTAATATGTCTCAATTTTTTTTATATCATCTTTAAAAGATGAAGGGGAATCTTTAATAATTGTTTCTTTTCATTTTGAGATTAAAATCGACGAGTAGAATCAACCCGAGCAATATACGAGTACATTTGTATTTTTTAAATCGAATTTGGCATTTTTTATGCGTAGTTCTTGAGGAAGCCAAATATAAATTATAGCATATATGAAAACGTTTTATCAATATTTTGTTGTTGATGTATCCTATTTATTATTAAAAAAAAAAAAGAAGAAAAGGTTAGTTTCTATATCATTTTAAATGAACCTAAGTCTAAAAAGTGTTGAAAAAAAAAAGTTTTCCATATGTACTCGAAAAAAACCCCGAAATTTTTGAACGACTTCATAATACAGAACAAGTTCTTGATAATTCTTAAAATATCGTTTATATGGATATGTCTACATACCTCTCGCTTTTCACCTATTTTAACTTTTTACATTGCTTATCTAATTTTTTTTTTTTTTTTTTTTTTTTTTTTTACCAAAATCAAATGATAGGGTGCGTTACAAGCCCCATATCCCCCTTTTGGATCCGCAACTGAAATATCATGCATAGATACATATTAATTATTTTCAATTCATGCAGTGATTTGTTTGTGAGATTCACTATATCGATTTTTTAAAATTTTTTTATTAATCTTGGTAATGATGATGTATTTTATTGTTGTCTTCATTCATTTCTAACAGATATCAGAGATTCTCAGTACAGCAAACATGCTGTGTGTGAAAACGTTTCTATACTCTCCCCAAAAGTTAGCTTTGGTTTTCAAGTCCTCTGTCAGTAGTACGATGTCAGGTGTCTGATATTCCGAAAATGTTCAATACCATTTACAATCTAAGAGGACTTTGCAAATAACTTTACGGTTAACCGTGTAAATATTGCATGCACAATAGACTCAATTATGCCATACGATTTCTTTTAGTATTAAGTACTTACCAGTACATTCTGTTTTTTGATTTTTCCCAGCTTGTTCATGGACTATCACAAAACCCTGTGGAATCATAGACCAGGGAAATGTCATATTGTGGAAGGGATAGGTATCAGAAAAGATGATTGACACACTCAATCTTATATAAGAGCATTCATTAAAGCAAACACTGTAGGCATTGTACTTTCTTGATTAACATTTTTTCTATATAATATACTGTAGAATCTTTATATCCATTCTACATAAGTCTTTTGAGCATGTTTTTGTGCTTACAGAGTATGGTTCTGAGGATATGCAGACCATAAAGTCTGGATTAACCTTCATCACCTCTGTAAGTTTCATTCGAATGTGAAACAAAATTGCTATATACATCCTTAATATATATACAATGTAGCTGGGGATTTATTGATTGATTGTATGTTGTTTTACGTCCCATCCCATTCGAGAATTTTTCTCTCATATAGAGACGTCTCAAATTTAGACCTTTACTGGGCACTCAGGGCTTTTGAGCTGTGAGGGTTCTGTATCGTGCCAACGCCTTCCGTAACACGGGACCTCGGTTTTAAGGTCTCATCCGAAAGACCCGGCTGCTACTTTCACTTCTAGTGTCGTTTGCTTGGCGGAGGAACAGTCACTACCTTTGTTTATGTCTTATATTTGACGCCAGACAGGGATCGAAAATCGAACCCGGGGTTCCCGATAAAGAGCCCCCTACCACAAGGCTACCGCGACCGGTTTATAGCTGGGGGTATCTGTCTATCTTTCTCTCTCTCTCTCTCTCTCTATACATATATTTATATATAATTTTTAAAGGGGATAAATGCAGTAGCTTTAGCAGGCCGAGGATATCAGGAATATTACAAGAAACACAATGTGAGAGGGAGAATTATGTTGTTTAACATGGAGAAACCAGAGGATGGGGTTAAAGAATTGATGATTATTGGAAACAAGTTCAGTTATGACGACTTCTATCCTCATGGAATCAGTGTGTTAGAGGACAAAGGTAGCTTTAAAAATATGTACATGATAAACCTATGACCAATGCATATATACTGATACCTTATAGATATTTATTGTATAAAATATCTATTTACTTATCACATGCATAGATTATCACTGCTTGCCACAGATCAGATTTTAAGGTACTTGTTTAGATTAGATTTACACATTACTTACACATAGAAAATAATAATAATAATAATAATGATAAATTTTCTGGATGAGATAACTCTAATAATTTACACAGAAAGTTAATTAAAGATTTTTGTCCATATGTTTCATTTATTTCATTTTTGTTTTTCTTATTATCTTTTAAACTCATTTTGTAAGAATTATCTTAGTTGAATATGTACTGAAAATAGCAGCTATCCCTCTACCATACATCAAATATTTAAAAAAAAAATTTTTGTAACTTTACAGATAGGCAGAATACAATTTCGTAATTATCTTCTAATCCAAACTTTATTTATTTCTCTGAATTCTGTATTTGCCCATTACTTCAGATAAAGTGTTGCTGTTTGTTGTGGTTCATCGGAATGAACAAGATACAGTGGAGAAATTTGAATTTCTAGAGAAAACCTTAGAACTGAAGCATCTAAAAACTTACGCAGGAACTTTAGCTCACACGTATGTTTATAAATAACGTTTATCTCAACATTATTATTCAATACAGCTCATTGCAATTCACTATAAATAAACGCTCCTGGACTATTTTAGGTTGATCTTGGGTTAATCTGCATTCTGTTTTAGACTCAATGATGTGGTAGCAACAGGACCAGATACATTTTATACAACAGATTATGCGTATTATCGTGATTCTAGACATACCTTAGAAGTCGTTTTGGGGCTTCACTTTGGACATATTTTGTTCCACAATGGCAACGATTTTATCATTGCTTCAGAACCAACATATACGGCAAATGGAATTGCTCTCTCCAAGAATGGAAAGTAAGTGTAGATAGAAACCCTTTTTGAATATTTTTATTTTGTTTTGAAAAGAAAGTGAAGCTCTTGTATTATTTTTTCCTTTAATAGATTCGTGTATGTCGCTAGTGGTAGTAAAAAAATGATGGTATATAAAAGAGAGTCGAATCACAAACTTACTAAAGTCAATGTAAGTGAAAAAAGTAATCATAACTGTCGTTTTATAAAACATGACGTTTGATCTTTGTTCATACCAACCTTGTTTTTTAATGCAAACATGGCATTTCATGACATGGGTTTATTCATCATATGATTAATTTAGTTGACAAAACTTTTACTTAATTCAGTACAATACTAGTAAAATACAGCTAAAAGAGGATAAATTTAGTTTAAAATTTCATTTTACTATGTGTTTAGGAAATTTCACTCCATACCGCCCCAGACAACTTAGTGGTGGATCCAAAAACTGGAGATGTCTTGCTGGGCTGCCACCCAATACTATATAAAACTACTAAGCATCTAAATAACCCAGATGAACCAGCAGCTTCGCAGGTAAGACGTGGCCCTGATCATAATTGAAAATTAATTATCCCACTTTGGTAGAGGGCTCGCTCCGTGATCGGAAGGTCGTGGATTCAAACACCGGCTGCGACTGACCTAAGTCGATAAAGTATTGGTAGCAACTGTTCCTTCGCTAGTTGCTCGGAACTTTGAAGTGAAAGTTGCTGGTCTTTCGGATGAGATTTTAAAAACCGTGATCTTAAGTCACGGCAGGCGTTGGCACAATAAAGATCCCTCACTGCTCAATGGAACTAGGTGCCGAGTAAATGTGTATATTTGAAGCCCTTCGCCACTATATGGTGACGTCTTTAAATGAGTGAATAATTCTCGAAAGAAACGTAAAACAACATACAATCAATCATTCAATTATCCCACCTCTGATGTTTTTAGAGAGCCGTGTTTTCTCTGCTCATAATTTGTATTGTTTCAATGGACTTTGATTACTGTTCTCTTCATACTTCATTCTACAAGATCTAATGAAATACAGTTGAACTTCGTTATCTCGAACACCGATATCTCGAGAACAAGGAATATGTCGAAGTGATTTAATTTGGCTGTCCCAACCAGTTTTTTTTCTTCATGTTTTTACAATCGTTATACTGAATCCTCGGATACATCGAAGTTCAGTCTGGGTCCTCTCGAGTTTTGCAATAGGTAATAGTCTACCTAAGGATTTTTCGATGTACAGCTGTCGTTGAAATTCTTTTCTGTTTAGATAAAATTAATGATAATTTAAAATGTTTCTACATATAAATAGATTTTCTCAAGAATCATAAAAATATTATAGTTTTTAAAACGCGACCATGAATTTTACTAATATTGACTGTATTGAGGATATACATGTAGTTCTCACATATTTTTATTTCAAAGTTGCTCAGATTTATTATCAATTTCTAAATATTTGAAAAGAAATACCGAAGAAAAAGTTAAGCATATACTGAAAATGTTAAGTACTTTATAATATTTTTGCTAGTCTGACGAACTTCCTAGAATTCAAATAGTTACTTCTCCAGCAATTTTACAATTATATGTTTGTTTCTTTATTGCTTCGTGTACCTTCGAGAATTCCTCACTCATGTTAGTCCGCCACCAAGTGCCGATGGAATTAAACCTGTATTCAGCACTTATGGCTACTGAGCAATAAGGGATCTTTTTCGTGCCATAACTTACTGCGACACAGGGCATCGGTTTATTTGGCCTCATCCTACGGATCGTCTCCATTTTATACAATGGATTTGAACCCGAAGGTAGGAAGGATCCATACCTTATTCCGCGACCCTAGAACGAAATGCTCTCTTTCTGCGCCAAGGGGACTAGCCTAAAACTTAAGGAATAGTATAAGTGTCTAAGTCTGTTCATTGTTAAGATCTTTATGTTAGGAAACTCTTTTTTAAATTTCATAAATAGAAGACTCAGCAAAAATTGTCAATTTTTATGGAAAAATCTAAATTAAACTTGAAGCTTAATCTATAGGTTTTAAGCATTTATGACTTGTCTCATTGTGAACTTTTTTACTGTAGGTGCTGATGTTACACATGGATAACAGTGGTACTAATATGACAAGTGTAACGGAACTGTTCTCAGATGACCTTGAACTATATGCTTCGAGTGTAGCTACATTGTACAAGAATCGTATGTTAATTGGTACAGTGTGTCACAAAATGATGTACTGTGAAGTTAATTCATTATAAAGAATATATTAAAGTCAAACTCTCCTTATGCGTAATTTAGGAAATACATCTAGCTATAGATACCTGTATTCCTATTTGTCAGTGATAGTTATTTTACACAGAGTTATAGAATGTTAAGTAATAACTGTTTTCTTTATTTAATATTAAAATCTTTATGTAAAGGTGTAAGAATACCTACCAGAAAGTGAAAAATAGAAAGGAAATCATTATAGATTTGTATTTTTTTTCTTTTAATTTGTTTTCACAAATATGTGCCGAGCACAACAACTTTGTTGCTATTGCACGCAATTTACTTATATAAATCCTGTCTTCATCTGTTTAAGTTAAAAAACAGTAAATACTAGTAACTGAAAGCTTTAAATGTTTCATTTTCATAATATTTCATAAAATGTCTATTATTAATTTTTTCCGGGCCGTAGCTTAAGAAACCTTTGACATTAACATTTTAAACCTGAACAGATGATATTGAGAAAGAGCGCATGCCTCCAGAATTTTTGACTCATTTATGAAGCTAAAGTCAAACTTTTTCATCGTGTAATCCAGGCCATAACATCAGTTTCCTCTGACTCTAGGACTTCAAACTTAGAACATGGAAAGATGGCATTCAGACAAGATGCAATATACCAAAATTTCTGATCATGACCTAGACCTATTTCTTTAGTCAAGATCAAATAACGGAAAATGTCCAATAAGGAAAATGTCTTAACCTGAGAACTCTTTGACATTAAGATTTCCAACTTGCAACTTAAAATGACGATTAAGATAAAATGCTCCAACCCCAAAAGGTGAATTATAACCTGTAACTACAGAATATAAAACTTTATCATATAGTTACTGGTGTTTTCAGTAATATACAATATTCGACATCAGTATTAAGTCTATTTGATCTGTCCTTGATATTAACCTTATAATACTTTTGCACACTTCAATGCTCATTTTAAGAAAGCCAAACCTTGAAGTGGAGACACGTTTAAGAGCCCTCTATACATTGCACACTAAAGAATTCTGATTTTATGGTATTTTTATGCAGATAGAGTTATCTGGCCTTTGATTAAGAATAAAATAAATTGAAATGGACAGTTTATTACTTAATTTGTGATCAAATCAAGCATTTATAACATTTTAATAGGCCAAGATGAATAGATTGAACACTTCATTTGCAGGCATTTTGCCGACTTAAGTAAACGACAATGGTTTCTGTTCATCAGTACTTCATTGTCTTTGAACATTTTTCCTGGGGGTAAGTGCAAGGTACTCTGTTGAAAATGTGAAAGATAAGCTCATTATTTAAACCTTAACACACTATAATTTTCTCAGTGTCCCAAAAATATTTTCCTCTGGTGTATAGAGGGTCCTTAATAACTATATCCACTAGTTTTAGATAGATTTCTTTGAAACCTTATTTTTGGAATATTAAAAAAAGTTACGAAAATTTTACTGTTCCTGAGATTGTTCATAGGCATTTATATATAAGTATTTTTATTTCTTCTACCATTTTTAGAAGATGTTCAAATTGCAATATTATGCCAAAAATGACGTACTTATGGAACATGACACCGTTCCCCCAAAATATATGGTCCAGATTTAATTATGGAAAGGATTTTAAATTGAGATCAAAGTGACTTTCTTTTGGGTCGTGAAGTTATCCTCTTAACATGCATCAACAGAAAGGACTTGGTGGTCCACAATTTCACAATGTACATGATATGAATCGGACTTGATATTACTATGTAGAACTATAGGCTTCCAAAATGAGGTCACAATGACTATTTTTTTCAGAACATACTGTAATCACTAAAATGCAAAATTATGATAATTCTAATTCTCACATCGTGCTAGATAAGAATGGAAACCACCTCACTATGGATAGTTACAGAATTCCAAAATAAAGCATCACCTTCCCTCAAAATGCATTAACAAACATGGTGTGATGACTCTACGTCTTATACTGTGCAAGTTTTGATCCAGACAAGATATTACCATAAATGAGCATTAAATTCAAAAATATAATCACTACACCTACATTTGGGTATGCACAAAATCTAGATGCTGCAACAAATACGATTTGATTGTCCTTGGCTTCTCAGAGAGCAAGATATTACCAGGTCATGATTTAACCACTTATAGCCAAAACATTCATAAATTATTTTTGGCGACCTACAGTTGTACTTCTGGAGTCAACACATCATCCTCTCAACAAGCATCAACTTACCAGGTTGGCTGCTTGATCTAGACCTCAAAGTATTCAAGATATAATCAGGACACGATTTGACCATGTCTATAGCTATCAAATCCCAAAATGAGGTCACTGTGATTTACTGTGGGTTTTGATAAACTTCCCTTACCCTTACCCTAACATGCATCAACTGAAAAGGTTTAATGAACCAAGGACTCGCAGTATGCAAGGTATAATGATTTGTTTATTGATGGCCAAAAAATTAAAAAAAATCCACTATGAGGTCACGGTCACAGCGATACTGGGATTGAAACACATGTACATCTTTCCCCACGATGCATCAATTGACCATTTTTGATGACTCGATTTAGGCCTCATGATGTGTAAGTTGTGATCTACACATGATTTGATTATGTAAAAGTCCAAAAGGAGGACACCACGACTTACTTTTGGGTTACGACACACCTTCCAACCAATATGTATCAACAGAAAAAGTTTAATGGTCGTAGTCCACATAATTTAAATGATGAAATATGGAGATAACGAACAATAAGCAAGCTCAAAAGTCCATTGAAACAATACCAATCGGGAAAACACTGACCTTTAAAAACATCAGAGGTGGGATCGAGTGCCATGGAGGAGTGAGCATCGCCTGTTGACCGGTCGCACTCGCCGTGTGCTCCTTATCATGATCGAGCAAACTGAAAAATCCATGGGCAATTCAGTTTGTAAATAATGGCCTAACAATTGAAAAACGTCATTCAACATTCGACATAATGATAAATCATTGTATTTGCTGACAAGGTCATTGTGTCGACCATAGAACTTACGAAATGATGACTTTAAACGTGACTGTTGATAGCCTTGTTTCATCGCCTCGTTTTAGAAATTGTTCGTGCCCATAGCATGCTCTTGCGTATCGAATCAACTGGGAGACATAAACTCCATGTGCAGGTGATAAGATAAATTCCGCTTCATATGAATACAAAAATATGTCCGCTAATTAATAAGGGGGCGCAATTGGTACCCATGCAAATTCTAAGATTGTTGGAAGACTTTGTCTCCAAAAACTACAAAGATATTGACAATCAGAAACTCAAGCATCTTTTTAATGTCAACTTCAAAGTACTTGTGTGTACAATCAGAATGTTTTTAACAAAAAAAAAATTGCAAATGACCATTGACAAGGTAAGTAAATTTACGAGTTCTATTTTTATTGAAAAAGCCGCTGTCTATGATATCAAAAAGCCTGGACTTTAATTTATCGTGGATATAACCTAGGCATGAATAAAAGCTAACAGACGGACACTCAAACTGTTAAGCCATGTCAAAAAGTTCAAGTAAATAAATATAAAACAAGCTGAAACTGATAACAGAAAATGTCGATGCTTGAAATGAATGTGAATATTGAACGGTGCGTTAAGACCGCGGATCATTAACTGGCAAAACTGGAAATATGCAGCTTACGTCATTTCAATCTGTTACAGTCAAAACATTTAATGATTAGACAATGAAATGGGCGGTGTAAACTCCTCCTAAGCAGCAGATCCCACCTCTGTTTTCGTAGAGGCCCTGTTCACTTTGCTTATATATGAACTTTTGAGAATGATCACTGCTCATTCACATTTCATAAAAATCATAAGCTTGAAACATGTGAGGAAATTGTCTGGATCATTTCTTAAAGGTAAAAAGATTGATACTCATTAAACCATTATGGCCCATGGGCCTCATAAATTGAGTGAAATGCAAGTATTGGACTTTTGCGAGGAGCGCCGACTTTTACAGTTGACGGCTTACTTTTACACTAGGACAATGAACGGAAGCTCTTCTACGATATAAATATTTAGGTCAACATTTAATTAAACGAAAATACGGGTTATTTCAAAGCACAAATAAATTGCCCTTGAAGAAAACGACAAACACCCTACCCTTAACTTCCGGCCTTCACATGTTAGTGCCCCTAACACCATATCTATGACCACTAGAAATATTTTCCCATCTATTATCAATTCTGTACCTCCATACATGATACAGGTTTAAATGTCAAAGTAAACAGTCAACTGTAAAAGTCAGTTCTTTTCGCAAAAGTCCAATATTAGAAGATATATACTTTTAAACTCAAGAGTTGTACATTACTTCAACCATTTTCACATAGGAATCATACATGGAATTACATGTACCACTGTATATGTTTCTTAAAATTAGAACAAACACTTGTTTGTTGATTTAGGACCACTTTATTTTTCAATGAATATTAATGTGCATATGAATAAGTAAAAACTGACTTTTACAATCCCTGATTTTCATTAAGCATTCCTCTCCCCAATAACTACAAAATACTGAAAACAAAATTCAATTCCATATGTAATTTACACCTAAATACAAACACAATTTTTCAATGGCTGACAAAAGTTGAAATATAAGCAGACTTTCTTTTCTCAAAATTCACTATATTATTTTTGTATATGGCACAGATATAAAGTTCTAATATATATATTTTAAAAATAAAGGTATAATCATGCACGAAAAACAACCATTACAAGAATTTGATTTATTGTCTGCTAGAATTACAATCTCATAACCTGGTAATCTTTACCATATAATGTAGGTTATTATTCCCTATCTTTTTACTAAAAGCAGGACCATTTCTTTTCATTAAAAAACTTTGCCAAACACAGAAACATAAAAATGAACAGACATGAAACCCTTCACCTTCTTTAAATGTATTGTCCATCAATATCAATCACAACAATATTTCAAAACACAGATATCTTCTGTGATATGGAAAAAATTCATAAAAGTTTGCACTACATGTAATTAGTAAAAACATTAGTATTGCCTAGATCAATTTTACTATGACTTAACAATAATTCATTATGAAAAAAAGTTTTTTTTCTTATTTTGGTGAATCAAGAAAAAAAAACACTATTCCTTTTCTAACATTTTATTTTTGAGGTCCTGTCCTATCTCCCAGCCTGCTGTTAGTGAAGTCACTAGATGTGCTCAGATCAGCGGGGCTGTTGGATTATATGAGGCTTCTGGACTGGGCGATTCTCATGAGTTGGTAATGGTTTCTGATGATAACTCTTCACAGCCTCTGGGGGGAAGTCCTTGTCTCCCTATAATAATTAAACACAAAAATGCTAATTGTGATTTCCAGAGCTCATTATTAAGTAAATTCTCATTTTTCCCCCCATTCTGTTTCAGCTACAATTTTTTATTATGTAAAAAATACTGATTAAATTACATGAGAAACTAGAATGTAGTCGGGCAGTTACTATGATTAGTAAGCCAGTTCAGACATGCATCCTACACATACAAACCTTGGTTACAGCTCCAGACAGAAGAATAGATTGGTGGTGTTTATCAGCACTTACATCACTGAAAATAAGATGATTACACTTACATCACTGAAAATAAGATGATTACATGCAGTATGTAAGGTGAATCTCTAACAGCCCAATCATTGTACTCACCCAAAAATTATTTATCATTGTACTATTAAACAAATACTAAAATGAATATATCAAATAAATCTGAAATCAAGGGTTTTATTTCAATTCTTTAACAAATAAAATCTCCATTTAAAGCTACAAATATGCGGCTATGTTAAGGCTGTCCGAAGGCTAAATATGCATTAGAAATATGCTATTATATTTTGAGCTAGATTTTGATTCCAATTTATAATCTATGTATATATGTGCAGTAAATTTTTGAAGAGAGTTTAATAAGGTATTGTGAAAAAGCAAATTTGTGATGTCACATGACTGTGTTGATCACATGACAGACACTTATAAATTTTCCCAATTGTTGCACAAAAATCCCATCAGCACAAGTGAAAAACAAAATTATTGAGAACAGTTTGTTACATAAGTCAATTAAACATATTCTTGGGTATATATAAAGTGCTGGGGGCAAGTCTGAGTTTTACTTCTTAAGAAAATATTTTACGAGAAATTCAACTTACCCACATACAAGGGGGCATTTTCCACTCTTCATCGCAATTTACACAAAATAGGATACATTACATACGATCCCCCAGCAAAATTCAGTTAGAGGACATACTTCTCTAGTAGATTCACACAGAACATCTTCAGTTTATCTTTATTAATCACTTGTGCCAGTCTAATATACATGCATGGTTTATAAATTCTAACTCTGTCTACAGATGTGTAAGGGGGAGCGTTTCATATTCAGTTTTTTGTTATTGTTTGAATACGTACATTATCAGAAAGAGAAAAGAATAAAGATATTGTATTGCAAATAATAACCATCATAACAGCACATAGAAACTTTAACCAACAATTCAGACACCTGATTTAAACATCAACGTCGAAATTAAATCTACATGCCAGGGAAGGAATGTAAAAGTTATGACACTTTCCCCGTCATGACTGCTTAAGTTTGCAGTGACTTGACGTCATATTCTATAATGACGTCATATCTTGGTAGTTCAGAGAAGTAATAATGGCTGGTACACTGTGATATTCATTGGAGAGCCTTATCCTAGCCGCGTAGGGCTTTTCATAAACATTAACACTTAGAAATTTAATCAGCTGTTACATGTCAATTGCTGATAAATGAATGAACTAAATCTTACACTGTTCCGAATTCTTCAGCCTGTTCCTGCTTTTCCTCCCTTGATTGATGAGAATCACTTTTATCTGGCTGCTTGTGTTGTACGATTCGCATTCCCCCAGCCTTAACTGAAAATTAAACAATATAGATAAAGTTGTAAATGTCACCATTTTTAAAAACCACACTGGTCAGCATTTCAACATTTTTCTTTCTTTTCATTCTTAAATGTGTCTTCGTATTAATAACAAGTGGCTTACTCTGAATCAACTATCAGCTAGAAAGGATGACTGCACTTAAGGACATGCAAAATTTGTGACAAAATAAACTTTCAAAACAAGCATTTTTCTTTTCATTGCAAAAATGGTCAACATCCAATCTACAACTTTTTGCAATTACGTTTAATAAAAGTGTGTATTTGCGAAGTTCGAATCTGTTTTCAAAGGCAGGGATAATAACAATTTCTTGAATCTCCATACGCTAATGAGGACGCCCACTTTTTTACTGACTTTATACACAGTCAGCGCATGTTTGTCTATTGTTCTACGTTTAACAGTAGTTGTATATTTGCATAAATAATAATGTATCAAAAGGAGGTTAATAGACAAACATGCGCTCATGGTTAAAAAGGGAAAAAACTGCTTCTTCTTACATTCGCTCTCTGTGTTGTAACCAAGGATTGTGACATGTTGAATATTATTATTCACCACGTGATTTCTTACCTCAGGTAACTGTGAATACTTAATTCCGTCACGTGACTTGTAAGGTAGCATGTTTTGTGCTAACTAGGACATTGTGTTCTAACACGTTAAGTCATCTGGCATTGACATAAAATCTGCTTTAATTACATTGACATGCTCATATTGTTAATTTCGTTTTGAAACCTTTGTCAGAAGTGTATTTGTGCCATACAGAATGGAGAGGGAGATCGGAAAGAGTGATCACGTTTTTTTTTCCAAACATGTCATTGTTATTTATCAAGTCTAATTTTAGACCCATTCTTACAATGTTAGCACCACCTCTCATGCATATCTAATGTTCATTCAAGGGCAGGTAAATGTAAATTCACTATATTTGGAAAACAGTAAGGACAAAAAACATTGAATCATTTCATTGTATCACAGTCTAAAATCATTTTAAGATTTAAATTTGGTTCCAAATTGAAAGGATTCTTTTAAATTAATAAACATACAACAGTGAAATAAGGTTTAGATATAAAAGCAACAGAAGCAACCAAAAAGACCCCAAAACAGGCATTAAGTGCAGTCATCCTTTGAATTTTCTTGTACCTTTATTCACGAAAATAAATGCTTTTACAGTACTCCTATTATTCTTTCCTCTTGTACTCAATGACATAGTTATTTGTATTAGGCCTATGACACACTCTTCTATTTAATGGTCTTTTCAAAGCACACAAACATATGAGGAACAGTGATTGAACAAAGCCTGAAGTTGTGTATAAAGTAGCTACAGAGCTGTAGCTCTCTGGGTGAGAAAATTAGGACAGATAAACCAGAGAGCTATAAATTGAAGCATATTAAAATCTTTTTATTTATGGCACTGATTTTTTGCACACTTTGGGTATAACTTCTTGCATTATATGCAATCCCCAGCTCAAAGCAAAGTACTTGTTAATTAACCATATATTTTACCCCCTAATATTGTTACTTTATCTACCTTCAAGCTAAAACATGGATGACCCAACATAGATATCAGAATGTGAATTTTTTGAAGCTGACATTCCAGGCCATACTGGGCTGTTTTGAACTGTTTTGAACTTAATAAAGTAAAGAGATTAGAAGTAAAATATATGGTTAATAAACAGATGTCATTCTTTTGGTGGGGGATGCATATAATACAAAAAATAATACTTGAAGCTTTGAACCAAAAAAGTGGTGCCGTAAATTGAAGGTTTTTAACAATGCTTGGATCAGCAGAGCTGTATGGTTTGTCTGTCCAAATTTTCTCAACCAGAGAGCTACAGCTCTACAGCTTTGAAGGTATGTACATGCAGCTAAGAGATACCTACTAGATGGTTTTAATTATAGAAATTGCACAAGCAAGCTACTTAACAAGTATATACTGGTGTCTCATAATATTGCAGTACTTATTTCTTTTGCGTAAAAAAGTTACTCCAAATTCATACATTAACTTTTCATCAAATACTATTCATAAACCTTTCAATGGCCTAACTTTTTAGTGGCTAATTATTTTCTAAGCTTTCTTCGTTTACTTTGTAGTCTATTTTTAAGACAGGAAGTCTTGTTTACCCCCTACTGTGGAGAGTCTTATTTTATCGCAGTATTGAAAAACATGGAGGCTTGACACTGTCACAAAGTACAATTTTTATTTTTTAATTTATGATGTAAATCTACATAAAAACTTAACAATAATACAAACTTAAGGCTTTCAAAATATGAACTATATTATGGATTTTTATATTCAATAGTCTAAATTAAATAAAAACGTGAATGGAAATCTGAAAAATTTTGTATTATTTGAAAAAATATTTTTCCAACAGGTGTTCCATACTTTTTAACCATCACTAAAGTCAACATTCAGACGACAGACAGATAGTCTGTCAACAAAAAGGATATGAACTATGTATCCTAATTTTTGGAAAATATCGCGATACAATGGAACCCGTGATATAAGGAGAATTAAGGATATATGTTGATGCAAGCATTAAATTTGGGCAACATATCCTAAAAAAAATGCATCCACATATTCAAAGATGTTAAAAAAAAAATATAGTGATATTCTTATTTGTTGCATTATTTGACTCCGCAGAAACAAATGAAAACGTTAACACAAGAAATAACCATGCACACTTTAATATAAGTTTTATAACATGTCATAAACCAGTCTAGACGAACTCCAAAAACAGCGTTTCTCGAAGTAAGAAATTGAAACTGAAAAAGACTCTGAAAAAAGAGTCCGCGCATGCGCACACGCACAAAAAATCGTGATTTTTTGGCAAATATGATGGGTCTACAAAAACTGTCTGTGCAAAGTTTTGGAAAGTATGGCAATTACGCCAGTACTCAGAAATGCTAAATAAGAGACTTTGGGAGAGATCGTATTTGTCTGATTTTTTATTTTATTTGCAAAAAAAGAGATATTTACTTTCAAAGTTGACGTTTGAAGTCAGGTCAATTACAGAGAAAATGATACGTTTGAGAAGTAAATATGCATAATAAAAGGGATATATATGCAAAATGGGATAATATATATTGTAACTGTTAAAAACTTGACTGAATTTTACACATAAATTAGCATTCAGGTATTTTTATTTGTGTACGACATATGAATTGAACGCTTAAGTTCTTACTATTGTTATTTACCAATTTTTTATCACATACGAACAGATATTATTATGAAAACATTTTTTAAAACTATTGGCTATCAATATGAAATCTTTAAAAACCACTCTTCTAGAAATTAAGGTCACAACATGTCTTCTAAAAATGAACCTGTGAATATCTCTGCTCCGTTGTGAAAAATACGCATTTTCTAATTAAAATAAATACAAGTTGGGTGTCAAAGCACCTATATTGTAGGAACAACATAAAATTTAAATCAAGGAGACAATAAATCAAATAAGAAAATAATTCTTACCGGCAGTATTGAATTCAATGTCGTATATCCAATTTACTACTATGCAAGAGTTTGAATCAATAAATAAGTCAATACCCAAAAAATAATTTTCCATTCAACAAAAATTAAAATAAAGTCACAATGCACTAAATACAGCCATCATGCACCTGTATATTTGGAGAAAGCGAACGACAATCCATCGTTTGTTTACATCGGACGCCATTTTGCCGCATTGCATGATGGAGCCAAAGACTTTGTTTTCGGAGTTCACGCTGTTTTTAGAGTTTGTCTAGACTGTAAACTACCCTACCACATGACGAAGTTCCCTTTTGATAAAACATCAAAACGATTTCTAGACAATATAAAAATCTTGACATATTATTGAAAATAACACTTTTTTTTTAAAAAAAATTCATGTTGTTTACATTAATTTAAGTTGCCAATATTGCACCCATTCATCTCTCCAGTCTTAAATTCAAAGGTTTACATGTGGGTGGGCAGGTGATAGAAGAAGCGACCTAAATTCCATAACATTATTTCTCTGATAGAATCAAGGTAAAAAGAGAAATGTACAGATAACTTGTGTAACCTTGATTTGATGGGAAGGGGTACATTTTTTAAAATATATATTTAGATCTAATACTTCCTTTTTAAACTAATTTTATTCATATCAAAAAAAAGTTGCACCATTCACAAGTATGCCTCCATGACACTGCCACCCACCCAAGCACAGTGTATAAACATATACTCTCATGTGCATAACACCATGCGGCATGCCACACTACTGCGTAATACGGATCGTTGACCCGAGCAGCTGTTCACTAAGAAACCTTATAAGGAACCCTTGCGATAAAACTTTTTGAAAAAAAAGATGCTGAATTTAATTTTCTTTTATCTTACCAGCAGGAGGATGTCCTGCTAACAAATCACTTTCTTCTTGCGCGTCTGACATTTCTGTTATCTGTAAGATTCAAAACTGCTTTCTTCTCGAAATCTCTATCACACTAGTTGTTTACGTGTGTCGTTCCCTTTTGTACGGTGACACCTTTCAGTCACACAAAAGGCACAGATATTGTCAGGGCTGAGAAATGGTTTGTAGCAACACGATTTAGCCTCAATATAAACTTTAATTGCACGGATATCGCATAAATTTTGCTCATATTTTTGTGCATAATATTTAATATGCCTCAAATACAATATATTCTAGAAAATCTGGGAATAGAAAAAGCAGAATTTTCATTTATTTTTAGTCTTTTAGTGTCACCATACTTGCACCACAAAACATACCGAACCCGAACTTAAAAAAATTTTCTACTCTTCAAGTAGGGGAGGTAAATAAATCTTATACAAGAAAACACAGCCAGAGATGCTGGGGTTTTTCAAATCAAAATCAAAATCAGTAACGATTCCTGATCGGCCTGTTCCACCTTCATTTGAACAAATAAAAGAAGACGTGGACACGGCTCCTGACAGTGACATTATGTTTTGTACACGTTCACGTAAGTTTATATCATGCATTTATGTCTTGAACATTTCATTGCATACTGTCCAAATACTTATTGACTTGTAAATGACAATTTCTTAAAACTAGTTTTATATATCGAGACCTGATAGCAGAGACATAAATAATTAATATATTGCCTGATAGAGATCGAACTTAGTATTTTCTCAGATTTTTTAGGCAACAGACATTGTAAATTCATAATCAACTTTTCAATATTGCAATATGGGCATACATGTTTCAAAGCCACTTCTTAGTTCTGCATTACAACTACAAATTGTATTTATTTTTGAACTGAAAATTAAAGTAGGAAGGTCCAGTAGTAAAAAAAAAATTAGAATCTCGTAATTTTTATTAATCAAGTTACATGTACCTCCTATAGATAAGCAATATTATAATTATATAAACACTGTCTGCTATGTAATCATAAAATTTATAATAATTTATGTTATCCTGCAATGTATATCATTAGAAGTGTAGATTTAGATTACAATGATGTATATCTTTGGAATTACAGGTTCAGGTAGTGATTCATCAGAGGAGTATTTTGATGCCCTTTCTGAGTTTGACACTTCTGGGGATGAGGACATGGAGGCGGAACAGGAACATGTATACGATCAGGCTGTAGAACTGTTACAGGTGCACCAAAGACTTACTACTGCACCCCAGACTCTGGAGGCAGAGTTAGACAAACTGAGGACTCTGGGACAGGAAGTGTCTGAAGCCGTGGAGGAAATCAGACAGATGTCAAAACCTGTCCCTCATCAATCAGAAGATTCCAGCATCTCAGGTCAACAGAAAAAGACAAAAATTAAATCATAAGCTTCTGTATGTTAAATGATACAAAAAACAATTGTATGTGAGATAAGTATATGATTTGTTAAAAGATTCCAATGTTCACATTATACACAATTATATACAATATGGTAGATGGTTTCTCCCGTGTTCATTATTCTGTATTGGAATTATGTGTGCAGTCATGTGAACTTACTTGTTGCTCTAAAACCCACATAGAAAGATGAATACTTTTGTGTATTTATACCTGTAAAAGTTTTATTGATGATGAACATTATGCAGAATCTTTTTTTTTGTAATTACATAATTTAGTATATATTTAAGTTAAAATAATATGGATCTCTTATTCAAAGCAATATGAGCTGCATTTTTTGAGAAATCTATTTTGATGTTAAAATGTGCTGTTATGATAAATCTGTATGTAATTTAATCCTTTATGATCAATTTAAAGTATTAATTTTTTTCAGAAGAAAGATTTCTGTACAATAAAATGTATAGTATTATATAAGAAATCAATATTGTACAGGATAACATTAATGTAACTTTTCTTCAATCAGACCTTATAAATAGTTATGAACAACAGAAGTTTACAAAAGTTCTTTTTTTCTGTCATTGAAATAGTTAATTACAATATTTCTAAGATCAAAGTTGCAGCTCATATTGCTTTAACATCCCAGAGAGTTGTCAACCAAATCATAAGATCATAATAGAAAGTATTGTAATTGAATCATAATTAGAAAATACACATGTACATGTATTATAGTACATATACACAATATAAGTATTATAAGTTTTAAGTGCTGCATATGCTGTATATCCTCTTGGTGAACTAGACAAGGATCCGCATTTCCTTGAAAATCTTGAATATTTTCTGTAATTTAAGGTTAAAATAAATATCCTGGAAAATTCTTATTACAAACAGGATGTACAAAAATATCTTGCCTTTGAACAAGTGAAAAAAGTATTTAAAAAATTAAAGGGCTATTGTAAGTAATGGTTTATTCAATTTTCATCTGTGAAATATATGTACATGTATTACAAATATGATCGTAGTATTTAAAGGGGCCTGGACACAGCTGCATTGTTTACATTTTTAATATCTATGTTTCTTCAAAAGTAAAACCAGTTAAATGAATTGATCTTAAGTGAAAATTCTAAAAGTTCAATGACAAAGACATTCTTCTTTACATCACGTCGAAAATCTGTTTTTTGTAAACAAGGCACGAGCTCTGTTATTGTGAATATTTACGTTTCACCGGTGTGTTCAATTTGTTAAACTCTGCACGCATCATTGAGCACGGACTGACAATATTGGCGAGTTGGCATTTCTACTACAATTTTTTTAGTTTATAATTTTAATACTTTCATAAATACACAACAAAATTTCTACTTTTCTTGAGTATTAAGGATAAAGTTTACTTTATGAAAGTGCAACATGATATTATACATGAGAAAATTTAACTTCAAATCTGTGTCCAAGCCCCTTTAAAGTACACATATATAACCAAGCGGAGAAGGAAGACGCAGGTTTTATAAATTTATTAGGAAAATGAAAAAGCAATGGCAGATGTGAAATATGTACAAACAAATAATACAATATCATAATAACAGAGACTTTGATATTAATACACTGAAACAAGATACTTTAATTTCCTATTCACTTCATAAATAAGAAAATTAAAGTTGTCTTAACCCAAAAGTGGTATTTTCATGGTTTAAAAACGTTTCTTTCAAAAATATGGAAAATACTTAAGCTTATCACTTGGACTTAATAAATAAATTACAAAAAATTTAATAAAAGAAAATTTACCTTTCAAGTGGTGACAACGGGCAGCTGGTAATTTGTAAGAGTAGAGTTAAATTTCCCGCACTGACAGGAATGAGCCCCTGCCTCAGTATTTATAGAAGGAAACTTACTGGCCAATGAAATTTTATGAGTAGAATTCATGAATGAATACCAAAACACGAATTGGCTACTAGCAAATATTGCATATAGTAAATAATGGCTCAGCTAGTTCTTAAGAAAAAATAGAAAAAAATATTTTAAATAAATATCACTCTGCCACACATAAAATATTGGCACCCAGCCATGAAGACATATAACACATAAACAATTTGTTTTGCTCATTTTTGAAATATTGGTTTATATTTTCAACACAATGAGATTCAAAAATCATTAAAGATATTCATTTATGCATGAAATATGATTTAATACTGCATCCCTTATACATGTATCAAAGTTGCTTTTTAAAAATATAGCATGCTTTTATCATTTAAACAGTGTTATTTGTTGTAGGAAATGAACCTTAGTCTTGATGTACAACTCGCTATCATCCACCCACATAACAAATGTAGCTTCATTTGATATGAATTATGGATAAAATACTATGTCATGTATGTAGAAGTATTATTTAACCACAAACATACCAATATTAAAACGTCTTTAGGCATAATGAAGAAGGTGAAGACTTTGTGTTTTGTAGTAAGGGACAAAATGATAGATTTTTTATAAAACGATAACATCTACAAGAAGAGCACTATGCAAATTTTATTTTATACAAGTATTATTAAATAGAAACAGTTTAAAGCAATATGAGCTGCATTTTTAAAAATCTTATTTTGCTTTAAAATATACTGTTTTGATGAAATTTAAACTTTCATGATCAATTAGGCAAAATAAAGTATTAATTATGTTTCAGAAGATCGATTTCTGAATAACGGAATGTATAGTATTATATAAGAACCCAATAATGTACAGGACGACAATAATGTAATTTTGCTTCAATTAAAGCTTATAAATAGTTCTTCCATCGCAAATATGAACAACAGAAGTTTATAAATGTTCTTTTTTTCTGTCATTGGATTAGTTAATTACAATATTGAACGAAAAATTTCTGACATCAAACTTGCAGCTCATATTGCTTTAACAAGCGAGCTCTGAGAAAAAAAGTATGACTACTAATGTTCCTGACAAAACACCACTTATACACTTTAACATATTCTTTGAAAATCCTGTATATTTTTGCTAGAAATTTGAAATGTCTTTTTAATTAATATTTGATTGCGGATATCACTCTATTCCAAAACATTTCCTTCCCCGATTTTTCATTGGTCCACTCTATGAAGGTGGTTGTCTTCAGCAGAACATGTAAAGAGTTGGTCATATTTTTTGTAAGGATATTTTCCAAAATAATTACAATAACCATCTCCTTTTCCTTATTTATTGTTCGCAACTGTGCCAGCATGGTTTCGAATCGACACCAATGGCTCTGTGCAAAGCTGTTAGACAAAATGATAAGAATCTTTCGGCTTCTATGCATGGTGTCGGTTATATTATCTACGATAAGTTTTCCCACTTGGAAATCTCTGTCATGTAGACAAAGTTTGAATTTTGCTTCCTTCTCTAGTTTTGGTACAATTTCTGAAATAACCCATACTCTATCATTAGAATTATAAGCTACAAAAACATCGAAGGCAAATTCATCGCCTCCTAATATTTCATAACCTCGTCTTTTGGCACGCAAGAGGTATAAATAGTACTTAATATGCCAGCGTTTTTGGTATAATACACACGAAACTATAACGATGACAATCACTGCAAAGGATACCGATACAGCCACCAGAATATATGGATTGAAAGGGTGACAAAATTGGAAACTTAGATGGAAATCAGCGAGATTCCGTCCTTTCCATTCCTGTGGGAGATTGCATACATACTCTTTTGGCCAACCGAGAAGCTGATGTGAATGATGTTGAATCCACCCTCGAAACCAAACTAGATTACATGTACACAAGAAGGGATTTCCTTTCAAGCCAATTTGTTCAATATGATCTGGAAGGTTTGTTTTAGTCAAAGTAGTTATCAGATTGTAATCTAAAAGAAGAGTCTTCAAATTTACTGATGTCGATGAAAATATCCCCAAGTGGGATTCATTTATAAAACAGTTTTGTAAGGAAAGCTTTTTCAGGTTTGGCATGATGGTGAAGAGGGTTTTCGGGAAGGTTGATACAGCGGTACCTTTTAATGTAAGTTCCTGAAGTTTCGTGAGAGGCCGAAAAAGCTTGAACAATTTCCAGTCTAGGTTATGTGACGCGTTAAGCTGTATCCCAGTCATATCTAGTATTTTCAAATTACGACAATGTTGGAAAATATTTACAGCATGACTGATAATATTCATTTTGTTTGCCATGTATAAAAACGTCAAAGAAGAACTATTGAAAGAATATTCATTAACTGTTACATCCGGTGCAAGGTTTTCGAGTGACAAATATTGAAGATTAGGTAAGCCATTTATGAAGTTCTTAACGATGGTCTGAATTTTGTTATATCCAAGCGTTAGATTTCGAAGATTTGGCAAGCATTCTTTCATGAAATTTCTTTTCTTTATGACGGATATTAGATTATCACTCAGGTGAAGAACTTTAAGCTTCGGGAAACTTGGTTTGCCACTAAAGCAGAATTTTGGAACTAATAGTAATTTGTTTTTCCTCAGATTCAGAACTTCCATATTCGGCATCACTCTCTTGAATTCAACAAATGAAATTTCGTTGTTCGTCAATGAAATCAGTTGCATCTGTTGGGGTAACGACAACAAGTTTCCACTGAAATTGTAAAGCACATTGTCGTCTAAGTAAATTCGTCTTAATTTTTTCAACTGTACAAAAAAGTCATCTGACATATTAGCCATATGCAGCTGTGTGAGATAGAGTTCCTGTATGACCCCAGTCTGTAATCCATGAACTACTTTCTTAAGTTTCTTTGCATGTAAATTGTTGTCACTAAGGTCCAGGGATAGTAGGTGAGGAAGTTTCCGGAAAGCACGTTTATTCACTTGATTAATGCTGTTCCTTCTTAAGACAAGTTTGGTAAGGTGTAGATGGGATATATTATCGAAAACGTTATCTCTCATGTGGTGCAGAGAATTACGACTAAATGTGAGAGAGGTGATATTTCTAGGAAGAGGAGGAATGTAATCCAGTTGTTTGCCATGTCCCTCACAGATTGCTTCGTTCTTCTGACACACACAAACATCAGGACATGAAATATTCCCCAGTATGGACAAAAAACTCACTGGTAGAAGATGTAATAAAAACAGACAAAACTTCGCATTCAAACGCATCTTGAAGTAAGCTAATACGTTGACAAAACATTTTCTAAATACTTTTTATCAGGAAATATTTTTGCGTAGTCTTAAGTATTTTCCGGGTCTTGCATACAGCTTTATTACTATTATTATTTTTGCGACAATATCTTTAAAATATATTTGACATACTTATAAAGATCATTAAATTCATATTGTATACATATATGCATTTCTAAAAATAATCATTATATGAGAACATTTTTTTGGAAAATTATAGAAACATTTCAGATCATTTTTTTCTTAGTTGTATGTCATTGTGAATCAAATTGTAATTTGATGGCGAAAATGAATCTGCTTCAAAATACAAGTAGGTCTTTTCCTGTTTTTCCCCTTTGTCTATTCTTTTACGTAAGTACTGAGCTTAAGGAAAACGTGAAGGAGGGCTTTTCATATTATGTAAGGATATTCTATCAAGTGACAATCCTTCAAAAAAAAAAATGTAAACTTGTATAAAAGAGATATGTACGAAGTGATTTGCAATGTATAAGATTTCGTAAGTGTCAAGAGGTGAGGACGTTACCAGGAAACAGGTTGATGTGCTCTCTCTCTAATAATAATAATAATTTTATATATATATATATATATATATATATATATATATATATATATATATATATATATATATATATATATATATATATATAGTGTCCTTGATATATATATTATATAGTGTCCTTGAAAAAATGCATATTGGGCGAGGCGTAAGCATCTTTTTATGATTAACGAAATTCAAATTAGTGTCGGATGGCATAAATTTCACAATAAGCGAGTTTATTGGTCTTTAGAGACGACAAGAAAGAGTTAGGAGATGGATAAAATATACAGATTGGCTATAGAATATGTATAGAATAAGGGAATGAAATGTAGTTGATTGACCAATGCTGGAGAGCGGCGAAATACATCCCCAAAGTGCGAGGAAAATCTTGCGCCTTAAGTTGCACCATATTTGCAAAACGGTATCTGAAGAGTTAGTGTCAAAAACTAAAATATAAAACCATAACGCTACAGTTCTGCATCTACTATTTTTATTAGTCCCCTACCGGTGAAACCGGAGGGGACTATAGGTTTCCTCTGAGTCTGTCCGTCCGTCTGTCTGTCTGTCCCTCTGTCTGTCTGTCATTCTGTCCCACTTGGTTTTCCGCACTTTTTTCCTAAGCCTGCAGATATTGAGCTGATTTTTGGTATGTGAGTGTATCTTGATGAGTTACAGATCAAGTTTGCATTTCGTCCCGCTTCATTAATTTTTGACAGAATTATGGCATTTTCAATTCTTAACGGGAACCAGATTACACTTGCCGGTAGGGGACTAGTATTGCTAATGCAATACTCTCAGAATGCTTGTTGAAAAGGCATTTGTCAATGATGTCAAAAATCCTGGACTTAATTTATATTTGGGAATGATTGTTTAAAGCATGAACAGGCTTACGTTTTAATGCTCTTGATTGTGGTAGAATTTTTCGAAAAAAATTCCTTGAGTTTAATAGTACATCTATTCACATCTGATTAATATCACTTCTCTACGGAAGCCCATTTAGGACCTATCAAAAAATATTTTAGAATTCGATATAACGAATTGTTGAATTTGTTATAACAAAGAGCTAGGTTCACTTTATGCATAAAATGGCCCTGTTCTTATATCAATTACTTGATTATCACTTTCTGCCCCATGTCATATATCAAAATAAAGTAGAGACTTAGCACTCTCATCTCCTATAACAAGATTTCTTTTGGAGAATTCGGGTATTGGAAAACAGGCTTTGTGAAAATGCAATGTTCTTGAATTTTGCAGAAAACAGGCATATTTGACTACATTCAGCAAATAATTAAAATAAGAGCACAGTCCTCGATCCAAAAATTTAAATATGTTTTATGATCTTAAGAAACAGACCTTTCATTATGTAATTGCATATTTTGGATCAGAGGTTGTGCTCTATATGAAATATTGAAAAAATACTCCAACTTTTGGCCATTTTTAAAGGAATTTACAGGATATGATAAAAATGACGCATTTTATGACGTCATAATGCATTGACTAGAAAGAAAATTACGTCATGTTCAATAGATAAACGGTCACCAAGGGTCCAAGTAATAAATTCTGCATTTTCAACCAAAACTGAGCAGTTTCGATTTTTCAGAAATTCTCAGGGCCAAAAAAGGCCCTAAGTGGCTCTTGCTCTTTAATTCGTTATAACAGTTTATTTGAATTCGTTATAACGAATTTAATCTGTTATAACAAATTTGTTGAATTCATTATAACGAATTCAAAAATTGGTTATAACGAATTAAATTCGTTTAAACAAATTCTAAAATTTGTTATAACAAATTAAATTCGTTTAAACGAATTCTAAAATTTGTTATAACAAATTAAATTCGTTTGAACGAATTCTAAAATTTGTTACAACGAATTAAATTCGTTTAATCAAATTCAGGGCCTGTACAATCAGGACCTGTAGAAAAATATAAATTTAATTCGTTATAACAAATTAAAGAATTCATTTTAACGAATTAAATTCGTTATAACAAGTTTTAGAATTCATTATAACGAATTTAATTCGTTATAACAAAATTTTCAATTCGTTATAACGAATTCAACAAATTTGTTATAACAGATTAAATTCGTTATAACGAATTCAAAGAAACTGTTATAACGAATTAAATTCGTTATAACAAATTTGACAATTCGTTAAATCGAATTCAAAAATATTTTTTGATAGGTCCTAAATGGGCTTCCGTACTTCTCGAATGTGTTGTTATACACTACTGAAGTTTCTCCTTTACTGCTGTTAATAATTTTGTGATGAGTAAAGAATGATATGGAAGCCCATTTAGGACCTATCAAAAATATTTTTGAATTCGATATAACGAATTGTTGAAATTGATGTAACGAATTAAATTCGCTATATCAGTTTCTTTGAATTCGTTATAACAATTTAATTTGTTATAACAACTTTGTTGAATTTGTTATAACGAATTCCAAAAATTGTTATGACGAATTAAACTCGATTTAACGAATTTTAAAACTTGTTATAACGAATTAAATTCGTAAAAACGAATTCTTTAATACGTTATTATGAATTAAATTCGTTTTAATAAATTGGACAATTCGTTACAATGAATTCATTTATATTTTACTATAGACCATAATTGTTGAATTTGAATAAACGGATTTAATTCGTTAAAACACATTTTACAATTTGTTTAAACGAATTTAATTTGTTGTAACAAATTAAATAAATTGTTAAAACGAAGTTAATCTGTTTTAACTAATTTTTGAATTCTCTATAACGAATTCAACAAATTTGTTGTAACAAATTTAAATTCGTTATATAATGAACTCAAAAAATTGTTATAACGATTTTAATTCGTCATAACAAATTCGACAATTCGTCCTATCGAATTAAAAAAAAAGATAGGTCCTAAATGGGCTTCCGTAGAAAAATACTTGATTGATTGATTGATTGATTGTATTTTGTTTTACGTCCCTCTCGAGAATTTTTCACTCATACGGAGACGCCACCACTTGCCGGTGGAGAGCTGCAAATTTTGTCCCATACTCGGCACTTACGGCCATTGAGCAGTGAGGGATCTTTTTCGTGCCAGTACCTACTGCGACACGGGACCTCGGTTTATACGGTCTCATCCGAAGGACCGGTCTCCACGTCCCACAATGGGATTCGAACCCGCGACGTACTTCGCGACTCTAGAGCAGACGCTCTAACCACTGCGCCACTCGGGCGACGAAAGAGGCTTGAAGAACTCGTTATAATATCTTTGTTTGTAAGTATTACGGCGCGCTTCTAGCGCCTCGGGAATTGCTCTGGAATGCCTTACGCGCAGCAACACCTATGTCCTTCGTCCTTTGGATGATTCCTTTTTGACCCTTAAAAAACGACAAGATTGAAGTTCAATACAGTTTATTGTCTCGTGTCCAGAACGTAAGTGAACAATATATTACAACAATATAAAGATTGATTAATTTACAAGTATTAAGATAATTGATAAATAGTAAGATATAAAATATAAAATATTATTTAAATTACCAAGTAACTTAAAATGATAATATAGAAACACTAAAACAATACAGTGGGCCGCCATTATGGTGACGACCATGTTGAAAACTTACTTCCGGTTACATTTCCGGTACTAAAACATTACAAAGAGTTATGGGGTCCGATTCATTTTTACACAAGTGAAATAGAATAAAATGTAATAATAGAAGAAGTTTAAACTCCATTTTAATCGTATACTTAACTTAAATAATACGTTGAAGTATAATAATTATTTTCAGACTTAATTAAGTTTAAAAGGAATAATTAACTCATAATGTGATGTCCTTTTAGTAAATTTTACAATAAATACGTTTAATCCTAGATTTAATTCACAATTAGTAATTCAAAGTGTTAATTCAGAATGAAACTAGATTCTTAATAAAAATGCTAAATATTCTTCGTCAAAATGGAATAATGAACATTTCAATACTGACCTTAAATTACGCAAAGGTTCAATACAGTTTATATTCTCGTGCCCAGAGTGTAAGTGACGGGAGAGAGACGAGAGAACAAACTTAAACCTCGAACCTGTCCTTGGAGAGGTCACTCAAAGGGGGTTAATCATATTTAATTACCATTGTCATTAATATATTAATAAATTAAATCAATATCCCTAACGGAGCCTCGCATGGAAACCGTCCCTTATTACCTAGAGTTTAATTCAACTTGCCGAAGAGTTTCCCACTTTTTCTGGCATCTATTGTTACGAGTCATTCCTGCAGTGAAAGTAAATTAGCTCAAATACCTACGTACTGACGGATGAATAGATAAACAAGCAAATATTTATATTACAAATTAACTTTACCATTTGATAATTGCCAATATGTGAGAATGTATTATTCTAAAATAAAATGTAACATATTTTTGATCAAAAAATTTAAGGAAACTTACATGTATGCGTGAATGTTAATCCGAACAAGCGTAATTTATTTATTTAGAAGGCACACTTAATTCCATAAATTTCCTATTCTCGAAATCATAAACTTTTAAATAAAACTTACCTATAATTTAGTTATAAAAATAAAATAATGAAGTTTAAAAAAATATTGATAATTATTGATTATATATTAAAATTATGAAATTAAAATAAAATTACGAGGTGTATTTGTGCGTCTAACACTGAGTTTTCCTCTTATTGTTGAACTCAGTTTCATGAAACCTTAAAGACACCGACACCAACAATTTTTGAATTTTATATAGACTTAGCAAGGAATATCCTTTACATGAGTTTGAGATGTTTTATTGAGCGAATGGGGACATTTTAGCGACATGTATATGACAAGATTAAAGAAGTGAAATATTATTATTTCTAAGTGAATTTAATCATGGCGACATAGATATTGCGCTTCATATCTACGAGAATTTGGTTACAGAGAAGGGAAAAATATCGGTTTCATGAGTTTTTGATATGAGCCACTGCATGTGTTACACAACAATGGTCGTAAATTGCATCATATATGTTATACATTGTAGAATAAGTGTTAATACATATAAACAGAATAGAATTAAGAGATTAACTTTGTCATTTCTGATTGTCCCTTGGATGGGAAAAGACTGTGTAGAATTCATAAAATTTATCACATTTGCAAAAATACACGAAAAGTTTTTATAACAATTTACACATTTAGTCCGAAAAGTTAACTTACAAAGAATTTATTATATTAAGGCCGAAAAAGTAATATTTTACATCGTTACAGATGCTCCGACTTCGCGTAAAACACGTCCTCTTGTTTTGAATTTTAGTTAATAAATTGTCTCTTCTTGGTTTTTCCTGATGTCTATACGTTGTTGAAATTGTCGTTTATTTTCCACAAACATGACAAAAGATTATCTCTTTCGTCCTCCAATATTTGGATGGTCTGTAGCTGGGCATTGTTTTCTTCCCTTAACTGTTTGGTTGTTTTCTCAGCTTCTGCCTGAATTTGCATTACATACTGATTATGTTCCTTACCAATCTTGTTAAATTTCTTCTGCAATAAATCCATAATCACTCTAACACGGCGCGCGTTGTCTTCCAGTTTGCGAATTTCCTCACGATAGATGTTAACATTAGAATTGTTAGACTGTTCTTGCATCTTCTTTTTCATGACCATGTTTTCATTTTGAAGTTTTTTGATTTCAGCTTTTGTTAATTTTTTTGTTAATTTGCAATTGGCCGTTAAACCCCTATTCTCTTTATTTGCATTGCATATTTGAATTTTAAGATTTTTTCAGCTCAGTTCGTAGAGCACACAAATTATCACATAATGAACGAAACTGACTGTCCCGAAGAGAACTGAATGGCAATTCTCGCAGAATTCGTTTGTTTGCGAGATACCTGCACAGTCGTTTCATGTCTCGCACCTTTTCCCTGCTAGCAACTGTCCATTGTCGTCACTATTTGGGTTTGTTTCTTTAATCTGTGTGAAGCACATCCTGGAATAATGTCCAATTTTCTGACATCGATAGCACTTCTGGTTAAACGTAAGGATGCAAGTTTCTGCACCATCCGCACACTAGATGCTGACTTGAAGGGAAGGTGAACTTCTTCCGTCTCCACTGTGGCCGGAAAGAATATTCTATTGCTGTACCTAACACGTCTGCTTCACTCGCTTTTTCGCTTTTTAGAGGTCCAGGATCAGACTACTACAGAATAGCAGTCCCGGAGGTCGTTGCCATTCAATTTCTCCAACGAAATATTGCAGTATGAATTTGTGCGTCTTATACTATTTCTGGACCAATCCTGAGTTTTCCTCTTATTGTTGAACCCAGATTCATAACTCCAACAAGCAATATATATATATATATATATATATATATATATATATATATATATATATATATATATATATATATATATATATACAAGTGCACGAGCAAATTCAATTAGAAACCCAGTGAAAGGTATAAGTTGTGATGAAGATATTAAAACACTGGAAACGAGCGGTGATTAACAATCAAATTACTTTTTCAATATTTTTCCTAATAACCAAGCAAGCAAGCATACTTTTCCCAAGACATTTTAGAGTCAATATGAAAACAGAGAACAATCATTTGATTAAGATTTAACGGCGGCGACTAATCTGTTCCAAAACATTTCTTTCCCTGATTTTTCGTTGGTCCACTCTATGAAAGTGATTGTTTTCAGAAGAACATGTAAGGAATTGGTCATGTTTTTTGTGAGGATGTTCTCTAAAATAACCACAATCACGGTCTCCTTTCCATTATTTATTAACCTTAGTTGCGCCAACATAGTTTCGAACCGACACCAATGGCTCTGTGCAAAGCTGTTAGAGAGAATGATCAGGACTTTTCGACTTCTATGCATGGTATCGGTGATATTGTCTACAATTAGTTTACCCACTTGGAAATCTCTGTCATGCAAGCAGAGTTTTAAGTTTTCTTCTTTTTCAAGTTTTGGTATCAGTTCTGAAATAACCCATATTCTGTCATTTGAATTGTAGGCCAGGAAAACGTCATATGCAAATTCATCTCCAGCTAGGATTTCATAACCACGTCTTTTGGCACGTAAGAGATACAAATAGTATTTAATGTGCCAGCGTTTTTGGTAAAATAAGCAAGACAAACAAGTGATGAATGTTCCTCCAAACGAAATGGAAATAGCCAATATGATGTATGGACTGAGGGGATGACAAAATAAATAACTTAAATGAAAGTCTGCTAAACGTCTTCCCCTCCATTCTTGTGGAAGATGACATTTGTAACCAGAGGGCCATCGCAAAAGTTGTTGTGAATTGTGTCCGATCCAATCTCGAAACCAAACTAGATCGCAAGTGCACATGAAAGGATTTTTTCTCAAACTAATGTTTTTAATTTCGTTAGGAATATTTGACTCGTTTATGGTCGTTATCAAATTGTGATCTAAATTGAGGACTTCTAGAGCTGATGATTTAAATATTTCTAAGTGTGATTCATTGAAAAAACAATTTTGTAAGTTGATAGACGTCAAATTTGGCATGATAGAGAATAAGGCCTTTGGGAAAGTTGACAGAGATGTGCTCTTTAAGGTTAGACTTGTAAGCTTGGTAAGAGGTCTAAGGAGATCAAGAACTTTTCTGTCTTGATCACGAGTAACGCTAAACTGTATTCCAGTCATATCTAGTATCTTCAAACTACGAGAATGGTTAAAAATATTCTTATTGTGCTTCAAAATCTTGAATTTATTTGCCATATATAGGGTCTTCAGAGAGGTACTATTAAAGGAGAGGTCACTAAATGTTACCGAATGATCTAAATTTGCGACTGATAAGTACTGCAATGTAGATAAATCTGCAATCAGGTTTTCAGGTACAAATTTGATTTTGTTATGTCCCAGCTTCAGACTCTTGAGGTTTGGCAAGCACTGTCCATGGAAGTTTTTTCTAGTTACATCATATAAAAAGTTGTCACTAAGATCAAGGACTTTAAGTAATGGAAAACTTGGACGTTGCTTATGCGGAAGACAAAATTTTGGGACTTCCGTTAATTTGTTTTCCTTCAAAATAAGAATTTCCAAGTTTGGCATCACTTTCTTAAATTTAACAATTGAAATGCGGTTGTTTTTTAAAGAAATCTTTTTCATTGATTTAGGTAAAGAATATAAATTTCCACTGAAGTTATGAATTAAATTGTCATCCAAGTGCAATCTCTGCAAAGTTTTTATATCTGAGAATGAGTGGTCTGATATATTAGCCAAGAGCATTTTAGTAAGATAAATATCTTGTATTGCACTGTCTTTTAATCCATAAACCACTCTCCTAATTTCTGAGGCATTTAGATTTGTGTTTTTACTCAGGTCAAGAAAGTGTAAACGAGGAAGCTCCCGAAAAGCGTTTTTATCGACTTCATGAATCCGGTTGTCTCGCAAAATAAGTTTCGTTATGTTAAGTTTGGATACGTTGTAAAACGTGTCATTTCTCAAACGAGGTAAAAAATTTCCACAGAATCTTAGAGTTATGATGTTTGCTGGAAGAGGAGGAATGTGCTGCAATCCTTTCCCACGATGCACACATGCTGCTTCATTGTTCCGACACGCACACAACTTCGGACACGCAATATTTTCTTGCACCGACGCAACTTCAGTTTGTAATGATATAAGATTGATAAGAATTAGGGTCCTGACCATTTTGAAATTAAAACAATCTAAAATTCCTTTTAGTCTTAGCAGTGACTGCATAGTATTTTAATATTTTTTTCGCAGGGAAAAAACCTATATCATTAGAGATCGTTTAGTTTTGTAAGCCGATTGTTTCTTTCATATGCTATAAGTATACAGATTTTAATGGTCAAGAGTGAACATATTCATCACCTTTTCAATTATCAACTTCACAAGCACGATTTGTTTACAGGAAGTTCAAATCGTATAAATCGTTGTATTGATAATCCTCCAATACATGAAAGTTGAAAGTAAACAAGGGCTCTCTATTTCAGAACTGATATTGGCAAAATTATGAAAAAAATGTTATTGAATCTTAATGCCATGTCTTTATATACACTTGAACAAGGAGTGCTTCCTTAAACTGAAACGACAGTTCTCTACCCCTTGTATAGTTATATTAATTAATCAACCACTTTTACTAAGCTGTTTTGAACACATGTATAGACTTTACTCATATCTTTAATACTTAAATTCTACATCTCAAAAAAAAACTTTCCGTCAATATTTTAATTTTTTCCTGTGTTACAAGATTTTTTTTATAGTACTTCCAAATGAGAATTGATAAATATATATTATATGTTCCGTGATTTGGCTTTTAACGACATGAAGTAAAAATACATCACGTATGTAAAAATGATAATTTTTCAAGAAACTAATTTCGACGCCCTGTCAAGAAAACGTGCTTTACATTAACATGCTGTTGGATAAAGATTTCAAGTATACATATATTTATTATCGAAACACATGTCTAAGAAAAACTAATCGTAAAAAGCCACGTTTATGTTTCCCATTATTGTTGTAAATGGTCTTTCGATTTGTTCAAACTGTTCAAACTTTGTTTTACTTCTGTATACACTATACTAGCTTGTAAAATTTCTTTTATGCCTTTGCTCTGTCCGTCCGTCTGTTCGTTAGCTGTCTGTCTGTCTGTTTATCCACAGAAAACTTTAACCTGCCCCTAAGGTTTGATTGGCTCGAGCTATGGCTTTCATGTTTAATAAGCCTATTCCTTGTGACAAGACCTTTCCTTGGGTACCAGCATATTTTGACTCCTGTGCCTGAAGTTCACCCACTTTTGCAAAATATAACCAAACTTAACCTTGGCCGTAACATGTGAAAGATTGATCCTTTCCCTATGGATATAATGACAATGTCAATAGTGTTAGAAATCTTTCCAGTTCACAGTGTAAATGTGATAGGACTTTTTAACCATACACAGAGACGTTTGCGTAGTCATGGGCATCGGTCTTACAATAAAACCTTTAATACACGATGTCTCTTTTGATTCATTACTACCTTACGTAAATCAACAGTTAGGTCTACATCATATTCGCACCAAACTTTACTCTGTTCCTTTGAAACTTTTAAATAGTCTTCTTGAAAAAGTCAAGGAAAGTCCATTTTTTGATTCCTCGACACCAGAATATAGGCTCGGATCTGTGATTATGGATATTGCAAATCATAGGCTTTTTACCCACGTTTTACTGAAGAAAATGCAGCTAAAACAATCCGTTTTTCCTGAACTTCAATATGCCAACAAAGGAATTGACGTAGTTAATATAAGTAATATTCTTAATTACAAAAGGGTCCAGTCTTGTATTCCACCATATTTCAAGTTAAAGACTACACCTTGTATTTCCTACAAATATACATCGACTATTGCGTCCAAACTTTTTAATTACAAGAAAACTTTACAAGGCCTGGATATCGAATATCTGAAACATAATCCTCCATCGTGTTTATGTTCTTCTTCACCCTATAACTATAGTATTGCTGGACACGTCATTACTGGTGACGTAAATATAGTAAATAATGAGGACCTTCGATCACTTATTTTAAAAGGTCCTAAATATAGGGAACCCCGATCCTTCAATTGGCGTCGGAATTTCATAAATATTATGGATTCTGTAGAGGATTACGCCAGGCGATGGGCCAGACATGAAAAAGAAGACCTTGACACTTTGTCAGAATGGATTAAATGTATCAGATGTATGTTAAAATCGCGCATTAAAAGATTGAGAGGCAATGTGAGAACCATCTATCCTTCTGTATTCAATAATCCAGAAATGAAAAAAGAATTAGATAGATTACATGATCAGTACGTACTGGTCCCTGCAGACAAAGCAGGTAACAACATTGTCTTTGTTTGTAAGGCTCATTATATATTAAATGTATTTTAGAGGAACTTGGATTTAATTCTTCAAGTGGTAATCCAACTTATACTCATAGTTCCCTTTCTAAGGAAGACATTCTTCAAAATCATATGTCAGTTTTGAATATTTTTCATATTCCAAAAAACCAAAATGAATTTGAATTACCATATCTATATTGGATTCCGAAACTTCATGAAAATCCTTACAAACAAAGATACATAACGGGTTCCAGTAAATGTTCTACCAAGTCTCTTTCTTTACTCCTCACAAAGATATTAACAGTAGTAAAGGAGAAACTTCAAGAGTACTGTGCAACAATATATTTGAGAAGTGGTGTAAATCAGATGTGGATACTGAAAAATTCCAAGGAACTTTTGGAACATTTGAAATCAGAAAATTTTACCAAAATCAAAAACATAAAAACTTACGACTTTTCAACTTTATATACAACTATTCCCCACGATAAATTAAAGTCCAGACTTTCTGACATCGATGACAGCTGCTTTTTCAATAAAAATGGAACTCGTAAATTTACTTACCTTATCATTGGTCATTTGCAAATTATTTTGTTTAAAAAACATTCTGATTGTACACACAAGTACTCTGAAGTTATCTCCATATTTCATTAGAGTGTTAAGCTGTATCCAAACTGTTGACAGAATATTTATTACCTATTACACCCGGTGCTAGATTTTCGATTGAGATTTATTGAACATTAGATAAGCCATTTTAAGGTTCCGACCTGAGTTTTGTTACATTCGAGCGCCAGATATAGAAGCTTTAGAAAGCATTCTATCAAGAAATTTCTTATAAGATTATCAAGATCTAGGAAATTTGGCTTGCAACTTTAGCAAAATTTTGGAACTAAAAGTAATTTGTATTTTCTTAAATTAAGAACTCCCATATTCGACATCACTCTTTTGATCTGACAAATACAAATGAAATTTCGTTTTGTTTTTTTTAACGTTTCTTTCGAGAATTTTTCACTGAAATTTCGCTGTTTGTCAATAAAAGCAATTGCATCTGTTCAAGCAACAATAACAATTCTCTCCTGAAATTGTAAAGGACATTTTAATCCAAGAAAAATATGTCGTAATCTGCAGGAAAAAGTCATCCGGCATATCATCTATGTGGAAAGGAGTGAGATATACTTCTCTGAAAAAATCACTTTGTAATTTATGTATCACTTTTTAAATTTCCTTGCAAGCAGCAATTAGCTCTCCTTTAACGTCCAGAGATAGTAAATGAGGAAGCTTCCGGAAAACAAATTTATTCACTTGACCAAGTAATATGGTTCTTTCTCAAGACAGGGTTTGTCAGTTGTAGATTGGATATATTCTGACAAATATTTTCTCTCATGTGGATAAGAAAATTAAGCATAATCGTTTGCCTCATAATCTGCTCTGTTATTCTGAAGCACACAAACACTAGGATATGAAATATTTCCAAGTATTGACGAAAACCTCATTTGTAGAAATAACAGAGAGTAGAGCCTAATACGTGTATCTATGTGCATTTTAAATTATGAAGTTTTAAGTTGGGTTTATATTATTTCAACAAAAACAAATTAAGCTTGTAAACTTTATACACGGAAAATGTTTTTCCTTAATATATATAAGCACATGTACTTTCCATGTATTCTCCTTCGTGTTTTTGGGAAGTCTCTTCCGCGACAATAATTTTTAATTTTTTAGTACAGTTATACAATTAGTTTGAATAAAATTCAATTTTTACAAATAAGTTTTTGAGTAAACGTATGCGAGATCATTGGGATGTTAAATCAAATTTTATTTGTCTGCATTTTTGCAGAAATCAAATTTCATAAAATGTGGCATACCTATAAATTTTCATCAAACACATTTCTGGTCACTACGGCCAGTTGCATAACTAAACATATGTATGTTGGTTAAAGATATCATTCGAAATGTGCTTTAAAAATCATTAAAATGACAAATGTACAATGTGCATCAATAACGGAGGATTATGGTTTTTTTAGTGGGGGGGGGGGGGCAGCCTTTAAAGAATACTTTAATATCAACTTTAGTGTCCTTATACTTAGATTCAGAATGATTTTTGACAAAATAATTTTGTTGATGACCATTCACAAAATTTACGAGTTTATTTTTTATTTCGGAAGCTGTTATAAAATGTTTGATAAGTGTTTATATCTTAAAGTTTTCAAAATTATTTTTGAAGTATTTTAGTATCCACTTT